CAATCCAAGACAACTGTCCACCTGCTGTAGAAATGCTAAGAGCTTCTGGAGGTGGGGGTGGATCATACATCCAGTCTGATCTTTACCAGAACTCATGGTCACCTAACTCCACGTCAGTATTTCCTGGCAATACTACACTGGATGGATGGATAGATAATATGAGTGGAAACTTGTAGAGGTGATGCAGAGAATCTACAGCCCTTTTGTAATGCTGTAGAGAAGGATAATCCTTAGCCTAGCATTTCTGATTTTACTTCAAAACGTACAGCTTTGTTTTCCTTTAAGGTAAATGCATCTGTGCTGCTCATAAATTCACAAGCACATGACACTTTTCTGCCTTGGTAGCTTTGTCTGTCATCAAATGAGGAGGAGAAATTCCCTGGGAAGGAACAGAAAAGCTCTAAAGTAGAGTGGAGAAGAAAGAAGGCATCTCAAGAAAATGTATTTGTGTAGCAAGAAGAGACCGCCTGAGATGGAACGAACTGTGACATGTCACAAAAGAGAAAGTGGAGGATTGCAGTGCCTTGTGTCCACTCGCCCCTGAATCCATTTCAACATGGTGTTATTGTCCTGGGGTGGCTTAGTTGTTATACGTTAATCAACAAATTCTTACGGACATCTACTTCTATTTGTCAGACACTGTTCTAGAAGCTTGAGGAAAAAGTGAATAAAACAATGTCCCTGCTTTCACAGAGCTCATATCCTAATAAGAAAAAAGGTAGCAAATAAACAACAAAAAAGAAAAGAGTAATTTTAGTTAATTATATGAAAAAAAAGAAGGTAAAATGGGACAAAGACTAGGCAATGAATGGGCATCTTAGCCCATTTCACGTTGCTGTTAAGGAAACACCTGAGGCTGGGTAACTTACAAAGAAAAAACATTTATTTGGCTCACAGTTCTGCTAGTTGGAAGACTGGGCATCCAGTGAAGGCCTCAGGCTCCTTCCACACATGGTAGAAGGTGAAGGGAAGCCAGCATGTGCAGAGATCACAGGGCAAGAGAGGAAACAAGAGAGCCGGGAGGGAGGCTCTTTATTTTATTATTATTATTATTTTTGAAATGGAGTTCTGTTCTTGTTGCCCAGACTGGAGTGCAATGGCATGGTCTTGGCTCACTGCAACCTCCACCTCCCAGGTTCAAGCGATACTCCTGTAATCCCAAGTAGCTGGGATTACCTGGCTAATTCGATGGAGGTTTCACCATGTTGGTGAGGTTGGTCTTGAACTCCTGACCTCAGGTGATCTGCCTGCCTCGGCCTCCCAAAGTGCTGGGATTACAGCTCTGAGTCACTGCGCTGGACCCAGGCTCTTTTTCACAATCAGCTTTCCTGGAAACTAACAAAGGAAGTACTCATTTATTCCCCATTCTCAGGGAGAGTATTCATCTGTCCATGAAGGACACACTCCCATGACCTGAACACCTCCCATCAGGCCCCACCTCCAGCAATAAGGATCATATTTCAACATGAGATTTGGAGAGGACAAATATCGGAACCACAGCAAAGAGGAAGAGGGGTATGTTTTAAATTGTGTGGTCAAAGAAGTCATTACTGAGGAAGTAACATTTGAGCTGAAAACTAAATGGTTTTTTTTAAAAAAGAACTATCCACATGAAAATCAAAACTTTGGCTTTCTTTCAAGAATACAAGATGGCTGCCACAGCTTCAAGCATCACATCTTCACATAACAACTTCCAAAGCAGGTCTGGGGATTTCCCTGTATCAGGAAGAAAAAGGTTTCCCACAAACCCCCAGCACACTTCCCTTCATGTCCCACTTTCTAGAACGAGGTCACACACCTACCCTCCAACCAGTCACTGGCAAAAGAGACTGGGATTGGCTGGGAGTAACCAGGGCTCCTCTGCGGGGACGAGGCAGGGGTATCCCTCACTGAGCACAGGCTTCCTGTACCTCAACCAGACTGGCCTGCCATGAGCAAGGAAAAAGGGCAAAGCAGCCACTACAAAGATCACACTTGAGATTGTCATGCAGGATTTACTGAACACCTGACCATGTTCCAGGTACTGTGCTAGCATTAGGAATTTTGAAAAGACCTAGGCACCCCTTTCACTATCTCACTCTGCTGCTTAAAAGCACTCAGTGGGGAGGCCAGGTGCTGTGGTTCACACTGGTAATCACAGCACTTTGGGAGGCTGAGGCAGGTGAATCAAGAGGTCAGGAGTTCGAGACTAGCCTCACCAAGATGGTGAAACCCTGTCTCTACTAAAAATACAAAAATTAGCCAGACATGGTGGCAGGTGCCTGTAATCCCAGCTACTCAGGAAGCTGAGGCAGGAGAATCACTTGAACCTGGGAGGCGGAGTTTGCAGTGAGCCGAGATCATGCCACCGCACTCTAGCCTGGACGACAGAGCAAGACTCCATCTCAAAAAAAAAAAAAAAGAGCACTCAGTGGGGGTAACGCCCTTTTCCCTCCTCTTCACCACTTCAAAGTCCCTGGACTGATGGAAATATAGTTCACAGCCACTTGCCTCCCTGTAGCCTCTGCTCATCTCTGCTCTCTCTGAATGACTCCTCCTTCCTCTCAACTCATAAACCACATTTCTTCCTTTGACAAATAGTCATTAGACATCCGGGCCCTGGGAATACAATTTTGCTGAAAAGACAAGGTGTCTGCCCTCATAGAGTTTCCAGTCTAGTGCTACAGAGAGATCATTCAATACCCAATTACAAAAATGAAAAGTGTTACACGAGGGGACCCACTCCGATGACCCAAACAGCAGCCCCCACCAGATGTTACCAGAGCACTTCAACTTATCCAAAGGTGCGGTGAGAGAATACATATTTGGAGAAAATGTCATTTAAGTCAAGGCTGAAAGGGTGGATAGAATTTAGGGAAATGGGAGCAGAGGTCATGAGTTCAGGGAGAAGGCAAGGCTTTTTTTATCTAGAAAAATGAGCATGTGCAAAGAGCCAGAGGTGGGAAGAGAGAGTTGGAAGAAAGGAGCAGAAAGTAGTTCAGCATTGCCAGAAAAGAGTAGGAAGAGAGAAGAGGGAGAAGTGTCTGTAATGACAGTCAGAGGCCAGGCCAATAGGAATGGAAAGCTTAGGACTTCATCCCAAGGGAAGCCATTGAGGGACTGACATGATTAGGCTTGCATTTTGGAAACGGCACTCTTACTCCCATACTCTATTGCCTTTCCCACGCTTTGACCGTACAGTACTGCAAACAGGATAACCAACGAGATGCGGTGGCAACAGGCTGGACCAGTGTAGTGTCCGGAGAGTGGGTAGTAACCCAAGAGGTCCAGGACTCAGTGAACGACACACTATGCCTCGAGGAGGACTTCAGGAAAATTTCAGGTACTTCTGTTGGGCTTTTTTTTTTTTTTTTTGAGACAGAGTCTCACTCTTGCCCAGGCTGGAGTTCAGTGACATGATCTCAGCTCACTACAACCTCCACCTCCTGGGTTCAAGCAATTCCCCTGCCTCAACCTCCCTTCTAGCTGCGATCACAGGCGTGCGCTGCCATGCCTGGCTAATTTTTGTAATTTCCATAGAGATGAGGTTTCGCCAAGTTGGCCAGGTTGGTCTCAAATTTCTGGCCTCAAGCGATCTACCCAACTCGGCCTCCCAAAGTGCTGGGATTACAGGCGTGAGCGACCGCGCCCCACCCTGTTGGGCATTTTGAAGTATGATGGTGTCCTTCATTGAGCTACCCAGCACTGGATGGTATCATTTTTGTACAAGTTGCGTTTGAGCAGCTTCCCACAGGGCACCGAACATGCTGTGTTTACTAATTAACTTTTAAAAATGGCTTTTCTTCTCCTTTGCCGCCTGCCCCTTTCATATCAAAACCACTCCCTTATCTTGGGTCACACTTTTCTCCGACAGGCCTATTTCGCTTTTCCTCTTTGCGTCCACAACCACATGAACAATGTAAAAAACATGGTTTATGTGCTTCTAGTTTTCATCACTGTGTCCCTAGAGAAAAATTCATACTTTTTTGAGAACCTACTAGAAGTCAGTTCCACCAGCCATTCCTAACACTGTGTTCCGCTAATGCAAACCTTAAGGCAGCCGATCAGACATTTAATGATGTCAGTGATCAATAAGTTGCAATTAGTAATTGACACTAATCCAACATTTTTTTCTTGAAGGTCTTTTATTCATTATGAAAAAAGAAAAAAAGCCACACCCTTTAAAGACGAAGCTCACAGAACAGCCCGATTGGCCCGCGAGCGGTGTCAGTTCTGGGTATCCTCCACCTGGCCTTTCCCGGACTCGCGTTATTTACAATATGCTATTTCACTACTTGAGGTTATCGGGTACTAATTTTACCATACTGTGTAGCTACATGAAGCGGCTCGGAATATACTATACCACTCCGTTTTAAGCAGTACCATGTCTGGATCAAGCATCAAAGTGAGAAGGGTGAACTTTAAAGGGCCTTTAAAACATCTTGAAGCAATAACAAGCCATACACTGAAGCAGCGGCGGTTTTAAACATTACACAGGACTGAAACAATCGAACCAATTTGTCCTTTGTTCTTTTTATTGCATTCGTGATTACATTAATACTGTTTAAAAAGAAACTCAAAAGGCATTAAACTTCAGTACGAATCTACACAAAGTCCTCGAAGGGGCCTGGCTTGGACGAAACGCCCTACTGTGCCGCTCGCTCGCAGCGCCCAGAAAGCCACTGAGCTTGGGGCGTTCCGTCCGTAGGAAGCGACCTGAAATGAGGAATTGCTGGGCCGGGCCCTCGCTCTGCAGGGGAGGATCCGACCAAAGTTTGCCAAGTTTCTAGGCAAGCCCGGCTGCGCAAATGCCGCTTTTTCGCTCCAGCCCCAGGCCTGGCCCGAAGAAGCTTTGCCCCGGGGGTCTCTGGGCCTTCAGAGAAAAGTCCCAAAAGGCGAGGGGCGCCGCCTGGGCCGTCGGCCTGGGGGGCCTGGCGCCCCGGGGCACAAAGAAACAGCGCGCTCACAGGGTGTCCCCTGACCCCGCTGACTCGGGGCCAGGGAGGCTCGGCGCACCCCAGCGGCCGCTCTTTTCCTCCCGAACCCGCCAAGCCCACCCGCTCCTGCAACGCGGCCGCCTCGGCTCCGCTTTTCTCCTGCAGGGAGCTGAGTGCGCTCGGCCGAGGAGGGGCCGCGCCGGCCGCGGGGCCCAGCCCTTCCCGCCGCGCCCGGGACCGCCCTTCTCTCCGGAGCCAGCTGATTGATGGCCCCGGCCGCTCGCGCCCCCCGCCCCGGCTCGCCCGAGAGCTCTGCTGTGTGTTTTGGAAGCGGCGCAACGGGCCGCGGCCGTGTGACGCCCGGAGCGGTCAGCGCCGCCCTTCCTTCCCCCCGGGCTCGGGCGGCGGCGCGGCGGCGGGGCCGAGCGGGCGGGGCGCGGGCTCCGGGGCGGAGGGCACAGGGAGGGGACGCGGGCGGGGACGCGGGGCCGGGCGGGCTGGAGGGGGGGCGGAGGCCGCGCCGCGCACGCCCAGCCCCACGGCCGCGCCGCGCCTCGCGGGACAGGTTGGGCCGGCGGGGCGGCGCCCGGCTCCGGGGAATAATGAGTGTCTGTCAGGCCGTCCCCGGGTGACTGGGCGGGGCGGGGCGGAGGCGGCGCGGGAGGCGGGGGTGGCGGGGGAAGGGCGCAGGGCGGGGTGCCTGTTTGCGCGAGTGACTCGGCCGACCCCTCCGGCGGCTGCCTCCACCCAAGTGGGTGGGGACCCGCCCAGCCCGGGCGGCCGCGGCGGCTCCCTCTCCCCTCCCTGACCCTCCCACCCCGGGTCCCAGCCTCTACTTACCCCGCCAGCCCCGGGAGGCTTGCAGAGCGAGCGGCGCCGGCGTCATGTGACTGCCCGGAGTTGGTGCCAGGAGCCAGAGGGGAGCCAGGAGCGGAGCCGCGCGGAGCCAGGGCCCGAGCCGGAGCGCAGCGAGAGCGCCCGCCGCACGCGCGCCCGTCCCCGTCCCCTGCGGCCGCCGCCGCCAACGCCGCCCGAACTGGAGCCCTGACATTACTGCGCTTGAGGGGCTCTAGGCAGCCCGGATCCGGGCCTTTATTTCTCGTCGGCGGCGCCCCGCACCGCGCCTCGCAAAGTAAGTCCTCTCTCCCTCACCTCTGCTCCGCGCCCCGGCCCCTGCAGCCCGCCTCCTCGGCCGCTCTGGTTTCATTTTTTCCCCTGGAGGGGGCCGCAGGGAATGAGTTGGGGGTGCAGCGCTGCGGGGGGGGGGTGCGCCTGCGGGCTTGGGAAAGTGCGGCAGCCCCTGGCAGCCGGGGTGGGGGCGGAGGGCGAGCACGGGGGAGGGGGCCACAGGTTCGCGGTGGAAAGTGAGGGGTTGAGGCGAGGCACCGTGTGGACCCTGGGTGCGGAGGAGCGGAGCTGGCAGCGCCCGCCGCCGTCCGGGGCAGGGCGCGGGCGGGGGCTCACCTGTGTGGTCCCCGGCCTCCGCCCGCCCGCTCACGATTCCCTCCAAAGCCCCAGAAATCTCCGTGCTCTCCGCGTGTGGCAACGTTGTTTGGAGAAAGGTAGCGCCGAGGCCTCTCGCTCCTGCTCCTCCCCCTCCCGGTGCCCCCCCAACCCCGACTCCAGCGTCCTTCCCCTCCCCGCCCTCCGCCCGCGCCCCCCGCCGCCCCCCTCCCGGGACCCGGCGCTCGGTCGCTCGCCCGACAGAGCAAACTTGGAGCAGCCTCCTGTGCCCTCTGGAAAGAAACTTGGGGCTGGAGGCAGCATCCCATTCTCCGTCCTGGAGCCCAGGAGCTGCCAGGGCGTCTGGATCCTCCGGGGCAGGAGAAATGCGCTGGCCGGGTTTGGAGAGTCCTCCTGGGGGCATGGAGAGAACCTGCCGCAGTGCCTGGAGCAAGGATTGCAGCGTGGCTGAAGGCGGAGGACGCCTTAGGCAACTGCCTGCAGCCGAGCCTGGTGGGGACCCAGGGACACAGATCCCTGGACCAGGACCCATGGGACCTACCTAACATTTCCAAGTGGCTTTCTTAGAGATGGCAGATAAGACTTGGAATTGTCATATTCATTTTTTGGGGCAGATTACTAATAACAAGGAGAAACACTTTTCTGGTTTAAATTTTAATGGCAGTATACAATAATACTAGAAGAATGTGAATGGGACTTAAACGGAAATTGGAAATTGCTCACCTTCTTGTATTTCACTAAAATAAACATTTTACACTGAAACACTGAATTTCTTACTCAGAATTTATGTTTCCATTAATATCACTCGAGACGCTTTAAATATATTGATTATTTTCTCATAAGAGTCTGGTATATGGGGAAAAGTATGAAGTGGTATTCTGACAAGTATGTGAAACATGCCAGCAAAATCAAGTGGGGAATAGGCCAGTTGTTCATTATAGGGTTTTCTACACAGCAGTTTTGTACTATCCTATTCTGTATGAATTTGAGGAGCATTTGTACAAGAGAAATTTATCTGGATGATCTGCCTTACCCTAGGGAAGACTTACTTTTAGGGGGAAAAACAGTCTGTTAGCACTAATATCTCCTTTTTTTTTTTTTTAAATTTGAGTTTGTAATAGTGTTTAAAGAAAGTGTCCACGAATGATTTCTTCTGGTTCTAAAAAGAGGTTTGTTAGTTGACTTTAGGCTCTTAATAGAAACCTGAAATTAGATGTTTGATTAAATTAAACTCCCTAGAGAAACTGATTTCTTCATTTCTGCAGTCAGTGAGCTTTGCTGCGAACTATTTATTAGAAGGAAAAAACCTAATGTACTATCTATCCGTAAGTTCAATGATGATACATTGTAAAGAACATTTGGTTTGCATGAAAGAGAATGCAAATATGAAAATCTCAACATGAAAATAACAAAGAAAAGTAGCTGCTTAGACCACAAAACCTTGTCAGATACAAAGCAACAGAGCTTTGCAGAAAGCTATTGTTTTATTCACTGCAAAGTTTCTAAATTAAAACCCAATTTTCTTGCTATGGGCACAGTGATGCTTCTTTCTTTCCTTTTTTTTTTTTTTTTTTTTTTCTTTTTTCCTTACCTGTACTTACATCTGCACACAACAGATTCTTAAATCTCTAGTAATGTAAGCTTGAGTTAAACAGTCCTGGCTAACAAAGTAAAGAGAAATAATGGGAAAGGAACTGTGAATGGATTTTACTATCTTAAAAATAACCCAAAGGGAAAATAGCCATTTTAGAATGTCTTGTAGAAATTAGTAGTCTGGCGTACAGATTGTGTAACAATTTTTAGATTAAATGTCAGAAACAGAATCACATTCTTAAAAGGTAAATTTCTGTAAATGTGTGTATATGCTGAACAGATGAGCAGCTCTGCAAAAATGTGTGTAATTGCGTTTGAAAAAGACAGTGAAAATTTTGGGTTGCTCTAGATGTCCCACAGTCTGTCTTGGAATTCTGTGACTAAAGGAGGCGCTTACCGTTGCTCCAGTTTTAGTTCTGTGGAGTACCTAAATTGTAATCTGAATTCCTAACACAGTACTCTGTCTTCATTTTCCTATTGATGCACTGAGGCTGAACTATAATCATTACCCTAACCCGGAATTGGACCAGAGCTAGGGACAAGCCATTGGGATGGGGCAGGAAGGGACAAAAGAAATCAGGAGGGAGGCTAGTGTTCATTAGGGAGGTCTCTGCTGCTTGAATATGATAAAATCACATTTCACTTATGATGTTTACTGTATGTGGCAGCTCTTATTTGTAAATAGGGCAGGTCCCCTGCATAAAGCTGGTGTTATTATTCACACCCATAGAACAAACACCTCCACCCCCCTGTTGTTGTCTTAAAAAACTCCAGCTGCTCATGAATATAGGGTCAGGGAGGGCCGGCTAAATGTTTCTCTGTGCTTTCTCTCCAGCACAGCCAGCAGAGCTGTTTCCTGTTCTTTGTTTCAAGGCTGGGGTTTGCGTCATACATTCCAAGTGGCATATGTGTGCTCTTTCCTGTTTCAGGCTGTTTTCTGGTAGATCAGTAGCCCAGAGCAGGCTGAGGTCCCTGCCCCTAAACTCCGTATCCCCACCCATGGAGTTATCATGTCTCTACACACTTGATATTGCTTAAGATGCCTGTGTTATGTCATAATGAGAAGTCAGTTAACCTTTTTACGTCCACCCTTTGCTCCACTGCATTTGTCTGGGCGAATAAATGGTTTTACCTTCTAAAATTTTTTATTGCCACATTGTGATTTGGGGGAAATTTCAGTCCATCTTGGCAAAGAAACCTAAAGGAGTTTTGTTTTTATTTGTGATCCTTGTGTTGAGGTGGTTAGGGTGTTTGTTCTAAGATAGGCATTTTGCCCTGAAGCTGTCAATTTTGGATCAGGATTAACACCTTACAGTTTAGAAGACCTAGCATTATATGAAAGATGTGGCCCACCCTTGTTCATATTTAACCCAGGATGCTCCAGGTGGCTTTGGTGGATGGAGGATTCAAGCAGTGTTGGCAGCCTGGGCTTAGCTGAAAGTCCTGGTTGTGTTGGGAAGAAGAAATCTTTGGAAAAATCACTGAAGCAAAGCCTAAGACATTGAGAAAATCCCAGGATTATTTCTTTTTAAGGACAAAGATTTAAATATCAGGATAATATTTTAAGGACAAAAATTTCACTGTACAATATTCTATATCTCATTTTCAACCCGTTCTTAAGAATTAAGCTCAAAGAAAAGGAGAACTGGCAATAACATTCATTCAATGATAGATCGTTCGGAAAATTTTAATCTTCTATTTTGAAAACAGAAGAAAAATGCTCTTCTCATTTTCTTTTTGCAATAACATTTTTCATTATTTTTTAAATATTCTGTCGGTTGTGGGCTAATGAATTTGAGTTAACTAAGACCGATCTTAATATTATTTTTCTTTTGGTTCTTGAGAAACTAAGATTTAAGGAAATATTTGGTTGAAAAAGAAAAGTTTTAGAAAGTTCTTTTATAAACTTATTTGGGGATTTTCTTTTTTAATCGAAAGGAATAATCTACAGCCTCGCCATGGAATTAATTCAGAGTTGCTGAAGCAGCAACTCAGGCCCTCTGCTCCCCAAAATTGATGATAATGATGCTTTGGCTCTAAATGTCACATTCCACCACATTCTTTATGTATAAATGGAAAGTATAAAATATGGTATGAAGAGAGTTACTGGGATCAATTACTTGGCTACTGATAACCTTCTATGAAAAAGGCCGGGAGTTTTGGAAGTCCTGGCAAAATTCTTTCTCCTTTGGGAAAAGCATCTTGAAATACTAAGCTGACCTGCAGGACAAGAGGCTTTTAAGCTTAAAATTCATAAGTAAGTCAAATGGAAGCAGGTTTTTTGGTTTGTTTTGATTCCAAAGTTGTTAACAATCTAGGTTTGGTAAACAGAGTCTGTATTTGGCTTTCAGAAAACTCTTTCCTCTCCCTTTTGCAGGGAGATGAAGTGGTTGATAGAGGTGATCAGGGTCTAATATAGTCTATCAGAAAAACATTTTGCAAGCTTTTAAATGCTAAGCTGAAGAGTTGAGGAAAATTATACTATCTTATAGTTGCTATAATAAAAAAAAAATAGGAATAAGAGTTTTATTTGACCATATAAATAAATCCTGATTCTTAATTCCATTGTCTCCATCTCCCCTTGAGAACTTGCCTTCTTAATATTTTCAAATCAACATTTTTGCTATAAAATGACAGCTTTCTTGGGTAGTATTTCTTGTTCTCTGTTTTCACACCCAGTTGTGTTTAAAAAAATATAGGCAACCTCATTTTTTAAGGTACTGAGAAATAAATTATTCTGGAACATGGACTCTTTCTGAAGTGCTTCATTTATCATTGGTTCTAGCTTTTCAAAAAAATTAATCTGTAGAATCTTAAAACAATTGATGTCTGGTTTGCTAGTATGTGATATTCTAGTCAGAATTCCTCTTGGGGGTGAGTTGGATTATGGTCGTCGCTAGCATTCTCGTTTTGAAGACCACTCTGTTCCTTTATTAGACCCTGTTTCTCATCTGAAGCAGTCATGCCGGAGCTGGAGACAGGAAACCAGACAGCAGTCTGCCCTGATAAGGGACAGCATTGTCTGAAGGGGATAGCCCTACTTTTCCCCCCAACTCAGCTCTCCTTCCTTGAAATTTAGTAGTCAGAGAAGAGGCACAATGCTGTTGACAGTTTCTGAATTGGAACTAGGATTAGTTTCTTCCAAAGCAAAAAAAAAGTCTCCTCAGCTGGGTGTGGTGGCTCACCCCTGTAATCCCAGCACTTTGGGAGGCCAAGGTGGGTGGATCACCTGAGGTCAGGAGTTCTAGACCAGCATGGCCAACATGGTGAAATCCCATCTCTCATATTAAAAGTACAAAAATTAGCTGGGCATGAGCCAGGCATGGTGGCACGCACCTGTAATCCCAGCTACTGGGGAGGCTGAGGCAGGAGAATAACTTGAACCCAGGAGGCAGAGGTTGCAGTGAGCTGAGATCGTGCCACTGCACTCCAGCCTGGGCAACAAGAGCAAGATTCCTTCTCAAAAAAAAAAAAAGGTGTCCTCTTAACGGGCCCTGTCCTGATTCTGTAATGTGGCCATATCCAATGGAACATTTGAAAAGAAAGAAAATGATCTGTATGTTTTATATCTGTTGGTCAGAGTTTGTAGTAAAGTTCTTTCTTTAGCAAAACAGTTTCCTGGAGGTTTTTGAAACTCACTCCATTGTGTCAGCAGGCTGAATTCATTATCATTTCTCCATCTAATTATTTGGAAGGGCTGGAGACAGAAGAGAGCCAGTTCAGTGGCCCTCTAGCCCATGCATTTCATGTAACTCCTGGGTCTGGCTCTTATCCTGTTTCCAGTAAGGGGTTGCTCCTTGAGGCAGGCCCTTTGCAGGAGGACCCAGAATTGCCCTGCTTCGCCCAGGACATCCTCAAGATGGTTGCCAATCTCTGGAAGGCTTGGGGATCCCCCCAGGGATGGCCCAGAGCTAGTCTTAGCCAAAATCAGTGGAGTTTGGCCAAATCTTGACAGGAGAGATCAAATGGATATTGAGGTCAGCAGGTTCTACCCTGGAGAGCGACCTGTGACTCAAGCATGGGGTTTTTTCCTCCTTTGGCCTATATGTTCTTTTTACTACTACTGTTGTTTAAGTGTAATCACGGAGATCCACTCCTTTATCTTTTCCTGTACTTTACACCCCTGGTACCTTCCAAAGCTTCACACTCCAAAGCCACTTTCATTTGTAAGATCAAGTTCCTGTTCCGCTGAGTTTCCAAACAAGGGAGTTTTTCTCCTAGGCTCCCAAATCACGTTTACTTTGCATTTTAGAAGATGAGATGTCAGGGCGGCTTCACTAGCCGCTGGACAGCGTTTCCATGTGGGACACCTGGTGTGCCATCATTCCAGGGCCCTGGCCCTTAATTTATCGTAGCACATGAGAAGCGAAGTTTGACATCCATTCATATATTCATCTCACAAGTATTTATTGAGTACCTACTTATTAGAGCTAATCTCAAATTATATGCAATCATTACTCTGAGTTGTACCATAGGATGGAGTAGACCTGCAGTGATCTAACCTGAAAAGGCATTTTGAAATCTTAATTGCCTGCTGGAACCTCCCCGGGCTCTGCTTCCCATGGGCCAGCGTGGCTGTGCACACCCACACCCTCCCTGCTGGGGAGTGACCCAGCATGAGGAGCTGTTACCTAAAAGGTCGGTCCCACAGCACAGGCTCTGAAGCAGAACAGAAAGTTTCCGGGTCTGCAGGCAGAAACACTTCTGTTCCTGGCTGCAGCTCCAACTAGCTTTGTGAAATTGGGCAAGTCGTTTCACCTCTGTTCCTCCATTTCCTCATTTCTAAAATGGGGATGAGGACCTGACCCACCTTTGTACAGTTATTATAAGGATTTCCGTATTTACTTGGGTCACGCTGCCAATTTTTCTCAGCAGTTACAGGGACAATTGCAGGTGCACTGGCTAGGAAGAATAATCGCCTAATTTGGGGCCTTCAGAATATGTCTTTTGATCTTGCATCCAAGCGTGCATACTGAAACAGGGTGGGCAGCAGGGGCCAGTTGGGAGGAGTGGAAATGGTCACCACCATAAATAGACTGTCCCCACGTTGTGTCTTCTCCAGGGACCAGCCTGTTCACAGAAATCACTATCCTGCACTTACTGTTGGTGGTGTAATGTCCTCTGCTTAGGGAGGTGGTAGAGTGATGTGCCAAGGCTACCAGTCTTGAAGTCAAACGACATTGGGTTCAAGTCCTGACTCTACAAGTTAGCAGCTGTGTGATGTTGGGCAGATTACTTGACGTCTCTGTTTCAGTGTTTTGTTATTTCAGTAAACTGGGAAGGTAGTAACCACCTCATAGGCATTAAATGATAGAGTTCATGTAAAGAACAGTACCTGGTGACTACCAATCCTGAAGGTGGTAGTGATTGGCAGGAAACCTGGGCCATCACTTAGCCCCTTGCTTTCCTCGATCCTTTTTCAAAAACCTGTGTTTGTGTACACGCCCATCCCTCGGGCAGTTTCCTCCTCCTCCTCCTCTCCTCCCTTTCTCGGCTCTCTTTTTTCTGTTTTAGATTTTAAAATACGGTTGAGAGCTCAACACTAGACTTGTTTAGAAGACCTCACTGAGTGGATAATAAATTCTTTGAAGATGGTACCGATAAGGTCTCTGGAGTGTTGAGGGGCCAGGCTAAGGTTAGGGGCAGTAACTTGTTCTTAGGAAGTTCGGTTTACTAGGTCTCCCTTAGAGTTAGGCCCTTCACCCCTATTACTTGTTGAAGGGAGAGATTTCAAGTGCATTCAGAGGGAGAGGGAAATGATTGTGGAACTCCTACTATGAGCTAAGTGCTCTTACCTTAGCTCCTTCAGCTTGACATAAAAACTTCATTCAAGGAACAAGCCCGATCTCCTGTAGGGAGTGGGGAGGGGGTCCTCTCAGGAAGGCTGAGGCCTGCCTGCCTGTCCTTCCCATTACTGCTGGCAGTGTGGCACGCACCACTGGGAAAGCAAAAAGGCCCAGCGTATCTAGGTAAGAAGAGGCGGCCTTGGATTCCCCCAGGGAGCAATCAGCTGGCTGCGAGAAGTGGGGAGGGCCTTGAGCTGCTCTTTGAAGAATTAGGAGGATTTAGATAAGCCGGAAGGGGAGGGGGCATTCCACGCTGGTTGCCCAGCATCAGGGCCAAAAATGAACAAAGGCCTGGGGGGTGGGCAGGGCAGCCAGCATGAAGGGCACTTGTTGGAGCAGGGGGCAGCTGGTGGGGAACAGGGTGCCAAGCATGGGCGCCTGAGTCCACTGTCAGACCCAGGGAGTGCATGGGAGGAAGGTTTGTGAGCTGGGAAAGGGCAGGAGGAGAGAACTGTGAAAAATATCGGTGGCCAGGGGCTAGGGCTGGCCTGGAGAGGCTGAGAGAGACCAGTGGCAGAGAAGCTGCAGCCAGCTACACAGGCCCCCGAGGCAGGAGTGGAAATGGGGAGAGCTAAGGAGGTGAGGACGGCTTTGGAGGTGGCCTCTGGGTTTCCATGGTGAAGAACCAGAAAATAAGGCCAGTGGGAGGTGGGGAGGGGCAGCCTTAGAGGCAGGAACGAAGAGGAGTAGGGTGGGCTTGGGCCACGTTGAAAGCAGTGGTTCAAAATGCTTTTCTCTTTTCTGCTTATTTTTAAAGGGAGAGGGCAGGCTTCGCTCATAGTTTTATATCCAGAGGTTCCATGGCTTTCTGGGAGGAACTTCAATGGAGAATCCTCAGGAGTGGAGGGAATGATCACCACCCCACGGTTCCTTCTGGTTATTTTTAAGGTTCCAACCATCCCTGTTCAGGCCGGAATTTCCAGGAACTGGCTGCTGCCCAGCGCCAACTGGTCCCTCCCAGCCTCCTACTCCCTGCAGGGTGGGGCCCCATGGGTGGAGTTGGGTGGGTCTCCAGTGATAGGGAGGGCACTGAGCAGAGGCAGATGAGAGGCAGCGTGGCCTCACGCAGCCCTTCTGGATTTGATTATATAACGCTTCACAGAAGAGAATTGTGAGGGCTTAGGCGAGGCCTTGTGAGATATGTACACAGCAGGATTAGACATTATGGGTATTTTTCAATTTAGCTTGGGTTGCTTGCCCTTAAAACTAAAACACAAAATTGTCAGAGAGCATAAACAAGTGTGTAACCCTAGTAGGGAAAATGGTTTGCGTTTGCTGTAATTTCTCTGAGAAGGGTGTGGAATGCCACTAGCCAGATGGCCTTGAACTTGCCAGGGTAGCATGGGTGTGGGCATCCCCGCCCCCAGCCCCCGCTTTGCTGGGCCTCCCGTTTGGAAAGGCGTCAGGCTTTTGCTTGGTTGTTACCTTTGCACCTGTCCTTATTGACATGCAAAATCAATTGCTTCACTTGGTCTTTCCGAAGTACAGGGTGTGGGCAGAGTCTTATCTGAAGCCATGTCCTGTTTGGACAAGTTGGACTTGCCTTGGCAACCCTCCATAGGGTGGAGCAGATGGGTGGAGCAGGAAAGTAAAATTGGGTGGCTTGTTAGCTGAGAGAGGAGAGAGGGCGGGCTGTTTGCTCACTGGATCGTTCTATTTCATCTGAAACAAAATAATTAACTTCTTTCCCATTTACAATACACATGAATGCAAAATAACTAATTCACAAGCGGCAAAGATTTAGAAACATCCCATGGAAGTTTTCTACTTCTCAAACCAGCGGTAGAAGAGTAAGGCAGGTGAAAAATCTTGGAGTGGCATGAAAATTTCCAAGCATTTCCAGGTAGGAATTTCCAGGTAAGTGCTGTCTTGCTTAGCTTTTCTTAAGGGAGCCTCCAGCTTAAAAATGCCTGCTGACATCTGTTGCCTGTCCCCTGTATTTCTGGCCAGGACAACTGCCCGTAAATACTCGAGCCTTTGGGAGATTTTGAAGAATTTGAGTAAAGAAACGAGAGAAAAGTTTCTCTGGACAGGAAGTTGAGCTACAAGGATGTTGCTTGCCTTCCTGGTCCTCCTGGCCAGTGATTACACACACATGCACACACAGCCTTTTTTTTTTTCTTTTTCTTTTTTCTCTAAAGTTTCTTTGGGGAGTAAGGGTGGGGAAAGATAACATGTTTCCTCTTTTAAAAATCCAAACACTTGGAAGAATAGAAAGGGCTGCCTGGTGATGGTGTGCTGCCGTATTGCTCCGTACACCTAGCTGAGGTCAGCTGGGGGACTGACGTTTGCTTGGAGGAAGGCAGGTGAGTTGGAGGTTCACGGTCAGTCCTGGGTTGGGGAAGATAATGCAGGGACCCTTTGAGGATCTGTGGGAAGAAATGAGGGCATGGAAAAGGGAATGAATAGGGAGATAAGGGAGAATGTCAGAGGCAGGTCTTGCTCTAACCCCAAGAAACTGGGAGGAAACTGCTTCAGATAGGTACACATTGTCTCTCCACCTTCCTCTTCCCTCCTCCCTCGGGAAGGGGCAGGCAGTCATCTCTAAGGTCGTTTCTGTAATAAATCATGCTGTAGCCTCCAGGCGAGCTGCTTTCAGAGGAGGTTTAGTAACCTCCTAGGCTCCTCTTCCATGAAGGACTGCGTGTGTGTTTCTAAGCCCTGCAGCTCACCTGCAGCACTGCCCCCACCCCACAGAGCAACAGTGCCCAGGCCTAGGACACTACTGGTTGGGGCTCCAAAGCAGGACTGCATTACTTCTGAAATTTCATGTCAATGATTCACCAAGCCTTTTAATCTTCAAGCCCTTTAAGGTTATGTCTTGTATTTTGACAGAAATTTGACCCTTATTTTAACATCGGAAAAGTCAGAAGTATAGGTGGAAAGAGTGTAAAGGGAAATCTGTTTCTCCTTTTTTAGGATCATTCAGTATTATTGGCCTTTCTCTGCAAAGTAACACAGCTGGGGAAGATGGCATTAGCTCCAGTTATGGAAAATTATTTTGACGCTGGTGATGTTCCTATATATTTTTGCTTTTAAGCACCTCCGTAACTTAGAAAGTTTGATAAAAAGTTTTTCCCTCCCCACCCCTTTTAGATGCAGTTTTGTTATCCTGGTATTGCTTAGTTTATTTAGCCTTAGAATGTATTTCTAACACTAGCTAATGTGTTTCTAAGGCTAGCTAAGCTAGTTAAATGTAATGAAGATGTAAATGTGTTTAGGATTGGAAAATTGTCATCAGAAAAAAAAAAAAAATAGAACCACATTTAGGGCCTCCTCCTCTCTGTGATACTCACATAAAATGATTAGTAGAATTTCTGAGCCTGGTTAAAACCCAGTAGGTTTTAAGACCCCGACGTTGGCAAACTGAATTTTTGCCGCGGTATCCTGGTCTCTAATGCCTGTTTTAGTGCGCCACCTACTGGTTCTACTTAAGATTACCGTCAGTGCTGTGTCATAGATTTTCTAGGCTCTTGTGGTTAATTTAGCATTTTTACAGAGTGATAATAACCCCATTGCACTGAGCCGCCCGTGGGTACCAAAGACCACCAAGTTTAGGGACCTGAATTCTTCCAGTGCCTAAGTTACTTCTCAGTTATGTGGAAAGCACGTTGAAGACTTTACAGTCACTCTTTTATGATTCTAGACCAGAACCTGTAAACAAATCTGTGCCAATGACAGAAGTGGTCCCTCTACTCAGAGATATGGGTGCAAAGTATAGAATGTTTTTGCAAATACATAAACAAAAGCCTAATTTCTGTTCATTTGTTTGATTTTCTTTCTAAATTTCATTCCTTCCTAGCTTAGCTTCCCTATCTTGTCTTTATTACAAGTTTTGATTATTGAAATAACAAACTTGGCCGGGTGCGGTGGCTCATGCCTAAAATCACATCATTTTGTGAGGCTGAGGCAGCCAGATCACTTGAAGTCAGGAGTTCAAGACCAGCCTGGCCAACATGGTGAAACCCCGTCTCTACTAAAAGTACAAAAATTAGCCAGGCATCATGGCAGGCGCCTGTAATCCCAGCTACTTGGGAATCTGAGGCAGGAGAATCGCTTGAACCCAGGAGGCAGAGGTTGCAGCGAGCCGAGATTGTGCCACTGCACTCCAAACGAGTGACAAAGTAGAACGCTATCTCAAAAGGAAAAAAATAGAAATAACAAACTTTAAAAATAGACCACAAATGTATAGAAAGCTGTCCCACCCACCACCACTACTCCCAAGAAGTTCCTGTTAACAGTTTTGGGTGTGTGGTTCCAGGCGTTTTCTTTGCATGTCCTTTATCTTCTTGTTTTATATCCGGTGACTATCACTAAAAGCATCGTCATTTAAAAGCTATTTTAGAAGCTACCCAATTAGGAACAAAGTGCTTTTAGACCTGTGAAATAGTGAGTGCGTTTGATTCTATTCATTGTGATATTTGAATTCTGCACAGACTTTTTTTTAATGTCCAGGGATGCATTATTTAGCTAGGAGTTTCAAAATTAGGTATTCTAATCCTATCACTCCTTTGTTTATTAACTGAAATACTTCTGTAATGAGAATATCCATCCATCAACATTTGGATTACTTTGAGGTACAGTTCTGAGCAAATAAACATAGCTTTGTAATTATTTTTTAATGAAAGCAAACCAGGTTTTGTTAGTGCCAGTGTTTTTTACTAGACTTTATGTTTCTCTTAGGATTACAAGTCTTGCATTTCCTTAAACTTAGATAAACCAAAAAAAGTAAAGAACAATCGTGATTTAAATAATGTCTTAATGATAAAAAGATATAGCAGGTTAATGTGTAATTCATTTCTAAAAGGATTCAGTAGTCGTTGCTGTGGCCATTAGACAAAGTCGTTGAAAGCTTTGTGAGCTAAGTAGTGGACTTAGAATTTGAACCAAAAGGAACTCCAGAGCCCATCATCTTTAATTTATTCTACCGTGCTGCAGTTAGTGGTAGTAAAGAATGCAGGGTAACATGAAGTGTGGAGATGGTGGCCTCACGCAGAAGCTGTGGCAGTAGTACAGTTGTGAAATGACAAGGCCTTAGAGGAGACCTCATACAGAAGGGAGGCAGCTGTTAACTTTGAAACTGAATCTAGTCTGAGTTTTATTTAAGGATAGGGGATAGACCTCTGAGGCGAGGGTATGTCAGCAAAGAGGCAAACACCAGACATTTTTGCTCCAGAAGTTGGAACCAACACATTTAATGTTGCGTGTACAGAATATATAGCCAAAATTTGTGAGCATGTGGATACAAATGAGGGCAAAAGGTGTGTGCGTGTGTTATTTACTCTCATTTGATAGACCTAAATCCTTGAGAAGTAGGTAAGGGAGGCACGGTCTGCATTTTGCAGACTGACCCCGTGGCTGGGCTAGTTTGCAGTCTCTGCTTGAGTCTCAAGACCGGAGCTCCTTACTTATACAACTGAGAATGTGAAGGCTTTTATTTAGAAGGATTTGTGGTCAGGTGAGGTGGCTCACGGCTATAATCCCAGCACTTTGGGAGGCCAAGGCAGGTGGATCACCTGAGGTTGGGCGTTTGAGACCAACCTGATTAAGAAACTCCATCTCTACTAGAAATTCAAAAAATAAGTTGGGCATGGTGGCGCATGCCTATAATCCCAGCTACTAGGGAGGTTGAGGCAGGAGAATCGCTTGAACCTGAGAGGCGGAGGTTGTGGTGAGCCGAGATCACATCATTGCACTCCAGCCTGGGCAACAAGAGCAAACTCCATCTCAAAAAAAAAGGGGGGGGGGATTTGTATCAAGATACTGTCTAGTGCAATAGATGAGCCTGGAAGAGTGAATTCCGTGTAAAAAGCTGGGGGTGCAGAGGTGGGAGGCTGCCACAGGGCGGCCAGCCGTGAGTCAGGACTGCTAAATGATCTGACCTCATTGATGTAAGCAGGAGATCTCACATCTTTTGTTTATGGTCCACTGTGGGGCACTGGATGACAGTTCTTAGACCCACGTTCGTCCATACAGCTGCTAGGCTGGGAACTGGTTAATAATAGATCCCAAGACACAAAAGCGTTTTCATCCCTCATTATGAAATCATCTATTTTTCACTGGCTGTTGGAGTTTGTTCTTGCTGGAATACATAAGAGGGTGGTAGCACCATTGATTTGAGCAGCTTGGTATCAAATTGTGTTTGCAGATTATAATACACCCCGTGATGTAGGAAAATACAATTTTGAAGTCAGGGCCTTATGTCGAGTTATTGATGAAATTCACATGTTGTCATGAGATTCAAAACAGGCTTTCTTCAGCGAATCAATGAAGCACAAGAACTACATAGTGTTACTTCCATAACTGTGTGCGAAGATATCTTAGTATAACCCGTGGCGCACCAACACAACGAACTACAGGGCTGCCCTTATGGAGATGGGGATGCGGGTTGTTAACACTGAAATGCAAGAAGTCATCCAGAACCCGGGACTCCTGCAGCTTCTTCAGCTGGAACTCGCTCTAGAACTTGTTCACTTTGCCACCCAAACCAGAGTGATCTATAAAGGCCTTACCTCTAACCAAAGCAGTGAGCGCCTAAACCGGATTTGGCTAGTGAGTGCCTGAAGTCGGTTTCTGAAAATGTGTCTAGTAGCAGGACAATGTTTCTGTAACTGAGGAGACACACTGAACGTTGAGCAGACTGAATATTTCATCTTGTGAAGAAGCTGTCGGCTTGATGTAGATTAGTGTTAGGAGTGGGCTATATAGAACACAAAAGAAAATAGACGGGATGACAAGCAGAGAACAGCAGAAGAAAAGGACATTTCCTTTACCATAGGCTCATTTTCTAATGAGGAGAAATCTGAGTGAAAGCAAGCTAATATTCTTCATATGTGAAAAGTGCTTAGAAAACAATAAGAAGTTGTGCAGGGGTGTCAAGACCTGAGTAGACATTTCTCAAAATAAGAAATCCAAATGGTCAATAAAACTGAAAAAAATTAACTTCAATAACCAAATCAATTTAGAATAAAAATCATTTGCCATTTGGAGACTTAACAAGTTGGCGTGGTGTTTATCTTTTATAACACAAGTGATATCACATGTTGCTGGCGGAGGTTTGGGGAAACAGGTTGCATTTTATTAATGAAAATAATAGTTCATCTTTGCCAGATGATGCATCAGATGCTTTGGGAAATGTACATACTTCTCACCCAGGAATTCCCATACAGAAAACTTATCTTAACAATTAATGGTGTGCAGAAGGATGTGTTTAAAAGGCACATTGCTGTTTGTAAGTGCCCACTCAAAAGGAAGTTCAGTCAACTGATGTGTTCGCACAGCGGCACGGGGATTCCACGGTGCAGAATCAGACTTAGGGAAAAAGAAACGCTTTCACAGTAAATTGTTCAGTGAGGCCGGGCACGGTGGCTCACGCCTGTAATCCCAGCACTTTGGGAGGCCGAGGCGGGTGGATCACGAAGTCAAGAGATCGAGACGATCCTGGTCAACATGGTGAAACCCTGTCTCTACTAAAAATACAAAAAATTAGCTGGGCATGGTGGCGCGTGCCTGTAATCCCAGCTACTCAGGAGGCTGAGGCAGGAGAATTGCCTGAACTCAGGAGGCGGAGGTTGCGGTGAGCCGAGATCGCGCCATTGCACTCCAGCCTGGGTAACAAGAGTGAAAAACTCCGTCTCAAAAAAAAAAAAAAAAAATTGTTCAGTGAAATGATAGGCACTAAATAGCAGGTACACTGTGAGCCCACTTTTAAATAGGGTTGGTTAGAATGAAAATGAGATTTTAATGATGGTTGGTTCTAGATTTTCTTTTTGCTTGTCTTTTTTGCCCCCTAATTTTCCTGTAACCAACGTACGGGGAAAGGGGGAGGTGCTTAGCAATCATATGTAATGTGAACCTCTGTAAAGAGTTGCACAGCAATCCAGGCAAGCTTTGCCACTCAGAAGGGGCTGTACATATTGTTCCAGAAATGTCAGAGTTTACGTATTGATTTAGAAATGCTGATTGCTTCTCATCTGGGTATGACCAAGGAGTCTGATTTTAATTATGTAAATGGCATCTTTCATAGATACGGGAAACAAATTCCAGCCATTCTAGGGGTAGGGGAGAAAAAGGAGTGGAAAGGTGGGATGAGGAGTATTGTATTTTATTTACTTTTATTTATTTTTGAGATGGAGTCTTGCCACATCACCCAGGCTGGAGTTACAGTGGCACCATCTCGGCTCACTGCAACCTCTGCCTTCCGAGTTCAAGCAATTTTCCTGCCTCAGCCTCCCAAGTAGCTGGGATTATAGGCGTGTACCACCACACCCAGCTAATTTTTGTATTTTTAGTAGAAACGGGGTTTCATGTTGTTGGCCAGGCTGGTCTCGAACTCCTGACCTCAGGTGATCTGCCTGCCTCGGCCTCCCAAAGTGCTGGGATTACAGGGGTGAGCCACCACGCTCAGCCTATATTTTATTTTTACTAGTTTGTATTTAAAGTAACCTTGAGATTTAGATGGATACCTTGTTTTGTTTTCTAGGCCATACACCAGAGCACCCTAGAAGGTTTAACTAAAAGAATGCTCATGTTTGACCCAGTTCCTGTCAAGCAAGAGGCCATGGACCCTGTCTCAGTGGTAAGTTTTCCAAAATGGAACACCTCGCCTTACTTTTTCCAAGTGATGATAACATTATTGTGTGTTGAATTATTCCTTAAAATAACTCATTACTTGACAGGCGTTTCATAGGCAAACTTTTTCTCAACATCCCTAGGTATGAGTGAGGGAAATACTGTCCTAGCTGCTATGGGTCCTTTAATAAATGGGGTCTGTGCTTCCTTAAGACCTGTGCCTGGCGTCCCTGTAAGATATGATCAGCATAGGACTTAGGCCATAGGCAAATCCTCTCGGGACAGAAGTAAGTTTACAAAAATTCCTCAGCCCTTTTGTGTGTAAAAATATATTAAGAATAGAATGATTTGCTTAAAACCAATGACAACAGCCATATGGAGCTGTGACTATATGAGAGATGACTGAGGGAAGCCAGCGAGAGAAAGAACTTGGCAGTGAAGACAGAATCTCATTTACTTGGAAGAGTCTGGCTGTGTGGGAATTAAGTTCATTGTCCTTTTCAGCACCTTAGCGCTAAGCCAGCCCCTCCTGTGAGCCAGGCCACTAGCTGCTTTTAGGCCACCAGGGACTAGCAAGGTTTCTGTGGGTACAACATCAGTGCCATGGAGGCGAGACATGGTGACAGAAAAAGGTGTCTTGACTTCAGAGACGGGAGTGGTTTCAACTTGAGAGATCTGCTTGAGTGAATATTGGATAACAAGGCAACGCCCCCACTCTGTCTTGCTCTTTTCTTCCACGGGCTTGGAAAATATTCACAAGGGGGAAAGCTTGGCCCGAGTTGTGTATCTGAAGGTTGGTAATAACACGCTTGCAAAATTAGATCATCCTTATGCATTGGCTCTGGAGGTTCCTGCCAAAAATGTTTATACAAGACACGGGGGTCACTCTGAGGCCCTTGGAACTGAGTTGCCATGGATATTACTAAGCCAGTGAAGTGTTTACCAGTATCTATAATGGGAGTTAAGTCAGAGGGGCTTTAAGGAAATAACATTTACATTCCAGCATGATAACTGAATAGCTGAGTGTCTGAATATGGTAGCAACTGAGCAATAAGGATTTTATTAATCAAAAAACTAAATTATTCTTTTTTTTTTTTTTTTTTGAGATGGAGTCTTGATCTGTCACCTAGGCTGAAGTGCAGTGGTGTGATCTCAGCTCACTGCAACCTCCATCTCCAGGGTTCAGGTGGTTCTCCTGCCTCAGCCTCCCCAGTAGCTGAGGCGCCCACCACCACGCCCGACTAATTTTTGTATTTTCACTAGAGACAGGGTTTCCTCATGTTGGCCAGGCTGGTCTTGAACTCCTGACCTCAGGTGATCCACCTGCCTCAGCCTCCCAAAGTGCTGGGATTACAGGCATGAGCCACGAGCCTGGCCAGAAAACTAAATTACTTCGAATGTTACATGGTACTGTCACTGTATTCATCAAATCCCCCTCCCCGCCATTACTGCATGATCATGTTAGAGGAAAATGAAGGTATAAAATTTCCCCATTAATTATATTCTTGAAACAGGAATAGATTTTTAGCACTGGAGAATATGATTCATTTTACAAATGGTGCAGAGCCATCAGTGATGCATTTTACTGTTCAGTGTATTTCCAGTGCTTTTAATCAAGCATGAAAATCAGGCTCAAGAGTCCAATAGAAAGCTAAAAGGAAGATCCACATTGCTAAATTGGTGTGATATGTATAATTAAGTGCAAGGAAATACACTTAACCGAAAAAAATGTAGAGTAAAATGAATTTGAAGTAACTGTTAAGCTTGTATTGTTGTAACGTGTTAGTTAAAACACGAAGTTAAAATATGTAGAAGTGTTTTTGCAGTTAATGATCTTTTTCTCCTTCATGTGCTAGATTTCAACTGCAACTGACATTTTTAGAATTGGGTTTCACCGAAAGTTAACTGTCAGTCCTTAAAATGAAGGTGTCTTTTTGTTTTTTGTTTTTTGTTTTTCTTGTTTTGGTTTTAACTTTTATCAGCAGGAAGTATTTTTTTCTTAATTCAGTACAACCTCAGTTAACAGAAACATTTGAGGAGTGGGGTGTTAAAATGATTTTACTTTAAAAAATTAAAAAGCTTTTGTTCCTACTCTTAAATCTTCAAATTTCATCTCTTCTGCCTTCATAGGCCAAGTGTATTGAACCTAATTGATTATTCCTTTTTTTTTTTTTTTTCTAAATTCAGTCTTTGACCTGAAGATCAAGGTCTTTGGCTATTCAAGTCAGTGTTGTAAACATTAAGGCACAATAGGACATTGTAAAAATATTTTTAATTTCTACATATGAATAAAAATACTTTATGATAACTTATTTCTCCCCCTCTTCCCGCCCTCTAAAAAGACAGCACAGCAGAAGCAATCTGCTCATTTGGTCTTTTGCTATGTGTCGTTTCCCTCTTAACCAAATATAAGCCCTCATACTGTTCTCCACTAAGCCTTGTGCTGTGAGGTTTGGGGTCACCCTATTAAAATTTGCAAGAATGGGGAACAGAGTAGACTTTGCCTCCCCAAGTCTGTGCCTTAAATCTCTGCTACTCACTGTCCACCCAGTGTTGGCAAATCACCAGCAGCAACCTGAGCTTCCAGTTTTGTGGGGTTTTCTGTTTTTTGGGTTTGTTTCAAAAAATTACAAAATATGAAACTGTGTAAAAAAAATGCATATGTACATAAATTTTTTTTTTTTTAACCGTTTACCAAAAGATTGAAAATTAAAGGATTTAATTCAGGAAGTTAGCAAGAAAACAAATTGCAAAAATAAAACAAAAAGTACTCTTCTATTCCTGTAGAAAGATTACTTTTGAAGACGGGATTAATAATATTCTGTCATCTAACAGACTCTTTATAGATAGGAAAGTTTGTCAAATGAGTAGTTTCCCCTGCGGTGTTCTAACAGAAACTCTTCACAGTGCTTTCAAGCCTGGTAGAAAGAGCTTTCTACCTCTGTTTCCATGGGGGTGCATGCCATTTGCTCTTCCCAGAGTGTGTGTTTATACATGCGCCACGCCTTCCTGTGCCTGGAAGCCTCTCTTGGATGAAGATTCCTTTGACTTGCCCTGTCACGGACATTCGCTTTTTTTCATGTTGATGAATAGTGAAATAGAGATTTCATCCACGTTTCAGTCACTTCATCCACCGAAACTCTTACAATGGAAAACTCACCAAAACGATTCCTAACAAAACAAGAAACGAATGCAATTACCACCGCAGCATAAAGTGATAGAGCTTTGAGAAATTATCTAAACCTTGTACCTCTTTCCCGGTCACAATTAAAATCATTTTCTCAAAGTTCAATACAATTAGTATATTTTTCTTTACCTTGTCAGTAGTAAAAACCCTGCTAAGAGAGTGTGTTAATTTACTCCACATTCATCAAGTATTAATTGAGCACCTATGCCCGGCCCTCATCACCTCACACTGCAATGAGAAGCAGCAGTCAGCCAATAAATGCACACTGGGCGTATGAACATCTGAGTGCATGTTACAGACAGAAAGAACTTTTCCTTATAGCAGATTGGTGGTTTTGTCAGGGGAAAGTTTGTTTTGGTTTGTTTTTTCGTTTTGTTTGGTTTTGTTTTGGTTTTGAGACAAGGTATTGCTCTGTTGCCCAGGCTAGAGTGCAGTGGTGAGATCACTGGGCTCAAGCAATCCTCCTTTCTCAGCCTCCCGAGTAGCTGGGGACTACAAGCAAGCACCACCACACCCCCGCTACATTTTGTTTTTTCTGTAGAGATGGGGTCTCACTATGTTGCCCAGACTGGTCTCAAACTCCTGGCCTCAAGCAAACCTCCTGCCTTTTCTATAGAGACAGGGTCTCACTATATTTCCCAGGCTGGTCTCAGACTCCTGGCCTTAAGCGATCCTCCTGCCTCAGCCTCTCCAAGTGCTGGAGTTGTAAGTGTGAGCCACTATACCTGACCCAGCTCTTGTGTTTTAAGCCCTTGTGATCCCCAAGTGGGGGCCAGAGTTGGGAAGGGCAAAGCCCATGTCTGTGTCTTCTCTTTGGACTGCTCTGCTCCAGGACACAGGACCTCTGGGGCTAAGCAGCGTGCACAGAGGGCACTGGAGGTCCGTCCATGGCCAGAGGCACATTTTCTGCTTCATCAGCACTTGTCTCTGATTTGGATTTGGGGCAGTAAAGCCGTGCTTGTGTGCATTGCTTTGATAGAACATGGGAACAGTCTGGAGCAGAGGGGAAGACTGTTACCAGGTGGTACCTGCCCAGGGCACACACCCTGATCACACCCCGTGCCAGTCCCTACACCACACCGGATTGTTGGAAGCTGATTCCAAAAGCTTGTGTGCTCTACCCACCCAGATAACATGAACCGTTTGAGGGGCCACATTTCGTCACCCTTTTGTGAGGCCTTGGGCTGGAAACAGTTAATTATCTGCCCAGAGTTGGGTGTCTGTTTGCAAATGTGTCTCCCCACAGTTAGTCTTATGACTTACAATAATTGCACATCTAATAGAGGGAGTGAGGGCATTCATATGAGAACAGACATATCAGCAAACTGATAAAACTTAGCTTTACATGTGGCTTTTTCTGTCTTAATGGCTTGAGAAACCTGAGAATATTACTAAGTTTGCAAATCTGGAGGTTCTAAATTCCTTCTCTTCCAAAACTCGCCCCATGCATAGAAAAATCCAGCAATGACAGCCGTAAAACTGTGTCCGCATTTTGCTTCCCATTTAGCTGCCAATAACTATTGGCATTAAAATCTAGGTCATAGGGAGGTCTTGGAAGAATTGGATTGAACATAAGGGCGAAGCTACATTTTGGTCAACAGAAGAAATGCTGCCTCCCATTTCCTAAAGGTTTTCTTTTTCTTAATACCAGAACCATTGCCCTTTGGAGAATTATATGAAGCACATTAGACTTTAGGACTAGGGGAAACCCTTCTCCCTCCTGTATTTATTCCCTGAAACTCTCCAATGTACATGATTTATAGTGTTTTTTGTCGTTGTTAATGAACCTTGTGCCTCTTTTAATAATACCTATCTTAATATTTAAATGTAAATCTGTTGAACACTTAGTGTGGCTATGTTTTGGACCTCTTGTGTTGGTACTGTGCGTGCCTGGCTTTAAAGAAAGGTAGAGAAGCTTTTCTTCATTTGATCCTTGATGTATGACTCAAAGCTGTTTTTATTCATTTTGCGTTTTGTGATTTTTATATCCTTCATTTTCTTGTTTTTAAGCAGCATTAGTGTGAAAACTGGCTGGGCGTGGCGGCTTATGCCTGTAATCCTAGAACTTTGGGAGGCCCAGGCAGACAGATCGCTTGAGCCCAGGAGTTCCAGACCAGCCTGGACAAAACCTAGGCTCTACCAAACTGCAAAAACTAGCCAGGCGTGGTGTCACATGCCTGTAGTCCCACTTTCTCCAGAGGCCGAGGTGGGAGAATCATGTGACCCCAGGAGGTCAAGGCTGCAGAGAGCTAGGATCATACCACTGCACTCCAACCTGAGAAAACAGTGAGACCCTATATCAAAAAAAAAAAAAAAGAGAGAGAGAGAGAAAAGAAAATTGTTTTTCCCTCCTTTAAATAGACCTTTAGTGTCTTTGTTTTATATCTCTGTCATTTAGAGTGTTGCTATTCAAAAGGTAGTCTATGGCCCCTTGGTTTCCTCCCCAGTAATTCAAAATTTGCATTTTAGCAGGTGCCCCAGGTAATTGGATGTGCACAGTAACGTCTGAGAAGCTCTGGTTGGGAGCGGCAGAGCCCGTGACAGTGAGCGTTTCTTGTATAAGCAGGGACAAGAAGGGACTTAGGGCAGCGTGTGTTAAGCTCGTTGCGTAGCTTATCCCATAACCTCACAGCCTCCTGGAAGGTGGGGCTTCAAAACAACCTTAACAAGTTTGCCATATCCTCATAGCGCCTGCACTCCTAATACGTCGTCAGTAATTTTTCCTGCCTTCTTTTACAGAATTGCTTTTTCACATAATACATTTAAAGGCAAACTTGGTGCTGCTACTACAACGTATACATGTAACAGTTTTTGCTGACACATACAAATAAACACCTAACAATTTAACTTAGGGTATGCTCGTCGTGTACCCCACCTAAAAGCATCTTAGGTACGCCCTGAGTGATGTGCAGCACGCTGCAGGAATCCCTGTTCTAGGAAGTTACACAGATTATAGCAGTCTGGATCAAGGAAGAACAGAAGATAACAAAGCATGATCTTAACCATGAGGACCTGATAAAGACAAACACAGTGATGTGATAGGAAGTTTCACTGCCTGGCTCCTCCTCGATAGTGTGCCGCTCTGCAGGCCTGGAGCAGGGACTGGGCATCTGGAATTTTCCAAACACAGATGATTCTGATGCATGGCCAGCCGGGGATTCACCCAGACCAAGCCCAGAGAGCAAAGGGGGTGACCTCAGTAGGAATCCCCGTCAGAACCGTTGCTGCCCCACAATCATAACTCACAATAGTGGCCCCTACAGGGGCTTAGGGGACCCAGAAATGAATAGCGCCTTTAGGGTGTTTAATTATAAGGTGCCATTGGGGGGGTTTCTTTGTTGCATCCCGAGTTAGTATTGCCTCTAAATCATAAACACGTAGGACTTTAGAACTGGAAGAGAAGCAGTATACGTTGTTTATCACTGTCGGTGTCAGCCATTCAGGTACAAAGAATTTTCTGCAGGTAAGCAGGCGTGACACACAAAATTTCAGTTTCCCTAAAATGCTGAGTGAAGAAGTTGGTTTATCTTGTTTAATTAAAAATTATGTTGCGTTCTACAAAGAAAATTTACAACAAAATGTTAGTTAAGGAATAGAAGTCATTTAGGTGAACTCCATGGTCAAGGATACTGCCCGTAGTGTGAAATTAGGATGATTGGTTTTTATTTATTTATTTATTTATTGAGACGGAGTTTCACTCTTGTGACCCAGGCTGGAGTGCAATGGCGCGATCTCAGCTCACCGCAACCTCCGCCTCCTGGGTTCAGGCAATTCTCCTGCCTCAGCCTCCTGAGCAGCTGGGATTACAGGCACGCACCACCATGCCCAGCTAATTTTTTGTATTTTTAGTAGAGACGGGGTTTCACCATGTTGACCAGGATGGCCTTGATCTCTTGACCTCGTGATCCACCCGCCTCGGCCTCCCCAAATTGCTGGGATTACAGGCTTGAGCCACCGTGCCCGGCCGATTGGTTTGTATTTAAAGCTGGCAGATGAAAGTTAGGTCATCATGATCTTTAAAGAGAGAAAGGTGTTTGAAGATAAATGAGGTCAGTTGTGTATCAGATCTTGGGAAGGAAACACTCTCTTGTCTCCTCTGCTCTCCCTTGTTTGTCCCCCAGCCTCATTTGATGAATGGGTAGCAGCGTGTGGAGGAGAGAACACGGGGCCTCAGCTTGTGTGAATGACCCTGAGCACCACATTTCCTTATTCGAGTCATAGCACGTTAGCTGTTTCTTATAGTTCTGTGTCACCCGCAGACTTGGCATTCAAGCCTACAGCTTCATTCAGATTCTGAATAAGAACATTGAGCAAGTTAGGGCCAAGGACCTAATTGCCCCAGTGAGGGTGGCCTTCAGGACAAAGGTGTGTACAGTGACTGACCTCCTCCTGGTTTGCCTGAGACTGTAGAGTTGCATGGGATGTGGGACTTTCAGTGCTGAAACCAGGACAGTTAAGGCCGACTAGGATTGTAGGACAGTTAAGGCTGACTAGGATTGTTGGCCAGTCCTAGGCATGGATTGTTCAGCTGCTGAAGCCCTTCAAAAGAAAGATACTGTCTGTTATGCAGCCCCATTCTTCCTTATTATATACAAGTATGATGAGCAATCAGTATCCTGCTGAAGTTAAAGATACTACTTATCCTGAGAAATCAATGTCCTGCTGAAGTTAGACACTAAAGCTAGAGAGCATTTCCTGCTCATCAAGAAACCCCACCAGAAAAGCAACAGGTTGGTTTGGCTTGGCTGGTTCTTGGTGAACCCTACCTCTGACTCCTAATGATAATGGCCCTCATGCCTGTGCTAGCGCCTGTCTTAAACTTTTGCCAGGTATCAGCCTTAATGTTTGACACAGGAATCATCTCGGGATTAAATTTCAGATTTTTCATGTGCAGTCCTGACCACATTGATCTTAGTTTTAATGTTTATGAGACTGCCTCTCATAGCATTTTCTTTGTTCTTTGTTTTTTGAGGTTTTTTGTTTGTTTGTTTGTTTTGTTTTGTTTTGTCATCCAGGCTGGAATGCAATGGCGTGATCTCGGCTCACTGCAACCTCTACCTCCCAGGTTCAAGTGATTCTCCTGCCTGAGCCTCCCAAGTAGCTGGGGTTATAGGCACCCGCCACTACACCCAGCTAATTTTTGTGTTTTTAGTAGAGACGGGGTTTCACCATGTTGGTCAGGCTGATCTCAAACTCCCAACCTCAGGTGATCTGCCCACCTCAGCCTCCCAAAGTGCTGGGATTACAGGCGTGAGCCACCACGCCCAGCTCTTGTAGCATTTTTAATGTTGTTGAGAACACTTCTCTGAGAGCATTTTTTTAAGGTCAAGTATATATCGAAATCTAAACCACTTGGTAAAGCCCATGGGATTAAGTGCCTTGTTAGCGTGTTTTTGTCTTAATTCGTGTTTCAGGTCAATGCACTTATTTGGCTGTTGACACTTGTTTTCCTTTTCGTATCCTGCAGTCATACCCATCGAATTACATGGAATCCATGAAGCCCAACAAGTACGGGGTCATCTACTCCACACCTTTGCCTGATAAGTTCTTTCAGACCCCAGAAGGCCTGTCGCACGGAATACAGATGGAGCCAGTGGACCTCACGGTGAACAAGCGGAGTTCACCCCCTTCGTCGGCTGGGAATTCACCCTCCTCTCTGAAGTTCCCGTCCTCACACCGGAGAGCCTCGCCTGGATTGAGCATGCCTTCTTCTAGCCCACCGATAAAAAAATACTCACCCCCTTCTCCAGGCGTGCAGCCCTTCGGCGTGCCACTGTCCATGCCGCCGGTGATGGCAGCTGCCCTCTCGCGCCACGGAATACGGAGCCCGGGGATCCTGCCTGTCATCCAGCCAGTGGTGGTGCAGCCCGTCCCCTTTATGTACACAAGTCACCTCCAGCAGCCTCTCATGGTCTCCTTGTCAGAAGAGATGGAAAATTCCAGCAGTAGCATGCAAGGTAAATTCCGCCTCTGCTCCATGCCGCTGCACTTGCCTAGCATACTGGCGCTTCACCACACGGGCTGGGTGAGGAGGCACGGGGCAAGGGCTGTTGAACTCCTCAAAGGAAATACTCATCTGCCTAAGGCGTTTCATTTTTTCTTTTTTTTTTTCCCTAAAGTGTTGATACTAGAAGAGATCCCAAGAATCAGGCTTGTCCATTTGATACCATGACATGATTACTTTGACTGTATAATAGTCAACCTGGGGATAGAAAGAGCCTTGACTTTATGTTGCTTTATTGAATGCCAACATGGTTCTAGGTACAAAAGGCATTTAATAAATACCTTTTGATCGTGGTGAAAACTAATGCCAATCAAAGGCCTCCTTGTTTACTAAGTGGTCATAGACAGGACTATGGAATTAAAAGGAAATAATCCAGAACTGTAAGAACGAATCATTTCAGGGCTGGTGTCTTAGAATCCAGGTCCCTGTATTTGCTGCTTACTGGCAAAATGATGGTCAAGAGAAACAAGAATCTCCCACAGATTTGTTCCTGCTATAATTCTGCCAAAGGCAAATGAATTTCTCATATCTGTATAGTAGATAGGAGCTACGCAGTAAGCCTTTATAAGCTGAAATTGGTAAATTGTATGTGGAGTGACTTTTCTATTTTTATTTTTTAGTACCTGTAATTGAATCATATGAGAAGCCTACATCACAGAAAAAAATTAAAATAGAACCTGGGATCGAACCACAGAGGACAGATTATTATCCTGAAGAAATGTCACCCCCCTTAATGAACTCAGTGTCCCCCCCGCAAGCATTGTTGCAAGAGTAAGTATATTTAGGTCTACCTGGCATTTGCTTAGTAGCGTGCATCTTGGAACCTGGAACAGAAGCACAAGATTTCACATACGTGATGTGGTGTGAATGACCAGGAATGGCTTATTGTCTGTGGCCGCCTCTGGCCGGGTATCACTGGCCAAGATAGGAAAATCTCTTCAAAAACAGTATGCTCTCTGTTACACTGACATTATGACAAAAGTTACATCAAGTTTTCATTGACTCAGTCATCTGCGATTTTGCACCTTACCACATGAATTATTTTTGTTTTCTTTTTTCATTCTTCCAGGCTATGTATACATAGTTCTTCCATGATGAGAATCCCTGTGTAGGTTAAATTTGGTGTTCTCTGGGTCATAGAAAGTTTTCATGTGGACACACATAGTCCTCCCAGCTGTCACTTCTAACCTAGTATATTGTTTCTATTATGGGGAATGTCTGTAATCACTATCTGCAGGCCAACCACAAGCCCAGAAGAGATGCTCCAGAACAAGTCCTGGAAATAGTGGTGGCAACAGAAAGTCGTCTGTGCCCAGCATTGAAAGAACTATTCTCTGGTCTTTTTAATCATGTCTGCCTACAGAGTGTATAGTATCCTGTAGTACTGCCATCCAGTAGGAAGGCTGTGCAGTACTGGTCAGCATCCAACCACCTGAATGGTGGTTTCTTGTAGGTCTAACGTGGTATAAGGTGGTAATGCCACACACAGGTTCAGTAACCTCATTTGTAAGATCCTGTTGTAGATAACCTTGACCTCTACCAGTGATTACATACACTAAGGGCAGGGTTTATAGTTGCTAAGAAGATGGTCTTCGGGTCCAACAAGGATCCCACCTCTGCTCTTTACCGTATGTATGATCTTGGACTACTCACTTAATCTTGCGGCCCTCATTTCTGTTTTCATTATTGATTGTAGTTGTTGTAATTGTCTTGTGTTAATGGGTGCTTCAACATTGGATTCAGCAGCCAGCTTCCTAGTACAAAGGCAGCAGTTAACTCCACGAGGTCCCCTTCCATCATCTTCCTGCATCATTTTCCTCCAACTTGAATAAATGTTCTACCCACCTTTCTCCTTTATCTTCTCCAGCCCCTCTGCCCTGGTCCCTCTCACACTTAATTCTGCAGCAGAATGCAAATTCTCTGATTTTAGAGTAGTTACTTTATGGTAACTTCAAATATATCCTAGTTTGGTGTCCATATTCAGCTTGGGTAGGTGCCTTCATAGTAGCTTATGGATTAATTGTCCACTGCACCCAGTGATAGTCCTTTTTGGTTTGGATTGTCATATGCTCCCTGATAGATGAAGAAGAGAATGACTCTCAGCCAGCTGCATGAGCAGGTAGGGAGAGAGAGTCTCTGATAGAATTGTGTGTTGTTATTCCTCTCAATCACATAGTGCCCTCTTCCCTCAAAAAACCTTCCCAGGTATTATCAAAGGCATGATGTCATTCGTCCACAACAAGCATGTGGGAGTTGGAGCAAAAGGCAAACTGATTACCTAAGACATTAGATAAGTCGCCTGTAATCACACGGCTGACAACTGAGGGAACCTGGGCTTGATCTCCTGCTTTCAAATCAGGGCTTTTCCTGGCGTCTTGTCATATCCAACCCATGGCATCTGCCCATGCACTCAAGTGAAAGGAAAACATGACTAAGCAAAATGGAAAACATGACTAAGCAAAATGGACCCATCTTATAGGTGGAATTAACTCTATGTTGAGGGACGTCTCTGGCAAGATAACTAGCAACAGGGCATGCACTTATAGTTGTTCCTGCATGGGTGATGAAAAAGATGCTATAAAACTAAATAAAGCCAAGTGCCTCCATAGGGAGGGATCCGTTGACAGGACAAGTGTTATTCCAAAGTCTGGCGTCTTGCAAATTGCAATGTAAAACATTGCAGAAGATTTGAAGGCACTATTTTGTGCTTTGAATGCTGCTCAAAAGAAAACACTTTTTTCTTATTTTAAGTAATAATTCTTTTGATGATCTCAAGCCCAGTGGCTTTTAATGATTAATGAGTAATATGCTTATTTTAATGCTGTCCTAAGAATGCATTTTGCATCTCAGAAGAATTCAACAGATTAGCCACAGCTGGGACATGTACTCTTTAAGTAATGTTCCCACAGATGTGATTAAGTAATGTCTTGGAGTGTGCCCAGTAGCAGCCCACGTAGGAAACCAGCTAGCCAGGAAAGAATCACTTGAAACTAGGCGCTTAGTACCACTGCGGTGAAGCAGCCCCAGTAATAATTGCCTTAGGAAACCCTTTCCAGAGGCAGGCTCCAAAGTGCAGCTTTGAAATCCATTTGCTTGATTGTGGTGTTACAGCTTTAGGATTATTTATAAAGGCACTCAGAGGTACATCAAATTCCTTTTGTTACAGATTTACAAAAAGATGTATTTGTTCCAAGTATATGAAGCTATATTTAGAACAAAAAACATAAGGATCAGAGTTCCCTATTGAGTTGTGTATGTGAATTGTAGCAACCTTAAAGATGGGCTGTGTCAGCTCAAAACAGTGGACAGATAGATGTATTAGCTCTCTAACTTCTTGGTTGTAATAATCCCAAACCATTACTCTTTGAAAATGGGAGTGGAGACCAAAAAGTGTGAGATCCCAACACTCTTAATCTAGCCTTGGCCTGAACCAACACCAGTCTCTTAAGAGATGTGGCAGCTAACTGTGCTCAGAATGTTTGAGGGACACAGCTCAAGCAGAGGTATCCTGGTTTGGGGACATCCTCAAAAAACTAATGAAAATAAACAACCATAGGGTACAAAGTTACAAATAGAATATTTTGAACCTCAGTATTCATGACTACCATTTAGTAGCTTTATCTTGGGAACAGACATTGTTCTGAGATAGAATCTTCTGAGATAACATTATCATCATCCCCACTTTACAGAAAGGAAACCATGATACAGAGAGGGTGAGATCTTGGCCCAGGATCACAGAGACTGTCAGTGACAGGGCTGCGATTTGTAATTGGAGCTCACAGCCTTTGGATGCACCTTTACCTATAAAATAAACAACTGGAAAGGGCAGTCAGAATTACTGCACAGAAACGATTAGATTCCCAGCCCATAAACTCTAATAACTGGGAGAGATTTCTAAAGTTATCTGAGAAAGATAGTCTCCCAGTATCCCAAAGACATGCAAGTTTTATGGTTAATCATGAAATTTCCGCCCTGACATTTTATTTCCTGAAGTTCTTTTAATGGAGATGAAACATTTTCATTAGATGGCATTAAAGCTGAAAGTTAAAAATAAACCGAACTATTTTCTTTTCATCGAAGGATATTAAAGAATAATTCAGCCTTATAAAAACTGTGTCTGTAAACCTCTCACTTTGCTGTGCTCTGCTATTTGTTTGCACACACACATATAATTGAAGTCCTTGTTCTTTTTCCCCTCTTCACTATTTTATGTTCACTTTTCCTTGTATGTAAACTTGGCCTATTTTATCCATCACTACCCCCCTTCCAGATATTAGAGTAGGAAGGTGAGAGTCAAAATTGACACTTTCCTTTGCTCATAATAAAGCGTGAGAAGTAAGATCATGTAAGAAACACACCTTTTATTCTTTTGTAGTCACTTCTTAGCATACTTGAAAAAGTTATTGACAAGGGATGTGTATTCAGATATTTACCAAGACAAGTTTTATATCAAGAGACTCCCTTTTGATTTTTATGGATAAATTTGTTTTATCCTTTTTCTTAAGCTCACGAGTTAAGAGTGTTTACTCTCATCATATTCTTTTTTCCTTTTTACCCATGTTTTTTCTCCCCAAACACACTTAGGCAAAATATTCCTGCATTATCTGGAACGTTTTAGGAGCTATAGATTCAACATGAAAGAGAAAGAAGTCTTTCATGACAGTTAGAGGCCGATGACATACACTTGTGATGTATCAAGTAATTAGTCACTAGGAAAGTGAATGAACAGATTAGAACATTTTAATTACTTACATTAGTCAGTGGGGGAAGCCTGAGAAAACTTGACAGACTTTTCTCAGTTCCTCCAGCTCCCTTTTTTCTCCACCATCTTCTTGTGGAAAAAGAGAAAGCTTAGATTATAAGATTTTTAACAGGGTTTGGTTTTGAATCCACGCAGGGAAGGTGCAAGCTCAGGAGTGAGAGAGAAATCAGGCCGGAAGAATGGCGGTCCCGTGAGGGAGCTGGCACCACGTGAGCCAGCATCATGGGTGACCACACTGCATTGAAGTTCACCCTCATACAGGAATCACAGTGACAGTGGAGGTTTGAGTTTGTGAAGACAGCAATGCCAACTTTTTTTTTTTTCCTTTGGAAGAGCCGGCATTTGAAAATTGCATGTGAATTGGCAGTCTCTAAGGGACTCCAATTAAATGCCAATTATATAAAGGATAAAAACGTAGATATACTCTACCATGTGGTTTCCTGAGACTTAGGAGTTTGATCTTTTCCATTTTTCCCTAGTGAACAATAATGAGAATCAGAGCAGCCTGTGGAAAAATACAGTGTTCAGCATTGCCTGGAACCATAAGATTCTATAAATAGGCAAATGTTGACTGAGGGAAGGAGCCTCCCCAGCACTCGGCGCCAGCCTCTAGAGTAGCACCTAACCCTTCTGACTGTCATTACTTATCTCCGTGTCTGTCTCCCCCTAGAGTGTGAGCTCCTCGAGGGCAGGAACCCTGTTTTTATTCATCTCTGTGTCCCGGTGCCAAGCACAGTGCCTGGCTCATGGTAGGTGCCCACGCAGTGTTTGTTGAATGAATATAGCGGTGCTTCCTGGGTTGATCAGCTAATTTCTTTTTGTTTATTTTGTTGGGATTTTTTGTTTATTTCTGCCCAGTGTTGTTAATGCTTTTAGTAGACCGATGAAAAAGAAAGAGCGTGCTCTCAACGTTTTGCCTTTAACCTTGGCTTTCACAGGAATCACCCTTCGGTCATCGTGCAGCCTGGGAAGAGACCTTTACCTGTGGAATCCCCGGATACTCAAAGGAAACGGAGGATACACAGATGTGATTATGATGGATGCAACAAAGTGTACACTAAAAGCTCCCACTTGAAAGCACACAGAAGAACACACACAGGTATTAGAAACCCCAGAGTCACTTTATCTTTCTTCTTAAGATGTATTAGAATAGAATACAAAGGTCGTTCCCATGAAAGTTTTTTCAGGCATCTTGAAAGTTATCATAGTTGTCTCCAGATGTGTCGTCTCCCCATGAGTTGTGCAGAATGAAGAAGTTGCTAATGATTTCCCTTTGTAATAAGTTAGAATAGATTCAAAGTAATCCCCGTAATAAGGCTGCTCACAATCACTTGCAGTTCTGTGCTCTCTAGCAAAGGAGGGAGAAAGAGTTGGAGCCTTTGCTGCCGGAACAGGGGAAGTGCTTTAACAGACGACCATGTGGCCTTCATATGAGCTATTTCCCATGTATACATTGTAAATTTTTGAGAGTGAAGAACGGTCTTTGTGCAGCACAAATTAATGCAACAGGGCCAGGTACAGTGGCTCACGCCTATAATCCCAGCACTCTGGGAGACTGAGGCGGGCAGATCATGAGGTCAAGAGATCGAGACCATCCTGGCCAACATAGTGAAAACCTGTCTCGACTAAAAATATAAAAATTAGCTGGGCGTGGTGGTGGGTACGTTTAGTCCCAGCTACTTGGGAGGCTGAGGCAGAATTACTTAAACCCAGGATGTGAAGCTTGCAGTGACCTGAGATTGTGCCACTGCACTCCAGCCTGGCGACAGAGTGAAACTAATAATAATAATAATAATAATAATAATAATAATGCAACAGTTTAACACAATTCAGATAGAAGACTGTCCTTGAAGGAAAGAAAAGTGAAGAAATTTGGATAATATGCATCATCTAAAATTGAGGAATCCTTCTGCCATTGCCTATCATATTGGTTCAAGGATTTCTTCCATCTTGCCTAATACTGAATATAGAGCATGAACAGCCAGATCATAATAAAGTTATTATATAGCCAAGAAAAATATGAAATTGGTCTCAGTCCCGAACATTTTGGTAGTCAAACATCTTAAGGAAATAATACAAAAGTGTTTTAACAGCCAGGTGCAGCAACGTGCATCTGTGGTCCCAGCTACTTGGGAGGTTGAGGCAGGAGGATTGTTTGAGCCCAGGAGTTCAAGTCCAGCCTGGGCAACATAGAGAGGCCTTGTCTCTTAAAAAAAATTTAAAATGAACTGTTTGAACAGCCTGATTGACTATTCATGGTGGTGATGTATATACAGTAAGGCTCATCTCACCTCAGGCTCTTCGAGGTGAAATTCTAGTTTGACAGCAGTTTACATCTGTGTGCATTTTCCTTAACAGTGTAGGTTGCTGTTCTGAGTCTTGCAAATCACTTCTACTATGAAAACTTCACAAGGAAGAATCTGGGGTTTGGAAGAGAAAAGGGAAGGAAAGTGTCTGGCAAAATGGAAGTGAAATTTTTAAGTGAATCCTGGGAGGAGGCAGAGAAAGCTAACAGCCACAGAGAGAGCTGAGGGTGATAACCTTGTGTCTAGAGGAACGCCCAAGCAGCGAGGCCAGTCAATGATTACTGAGGACATCGTTGGGGCATGAGTGGGGCCCGAGAGGTAGATGTTACCAAATTCCAGCCTAAAATTAAAAGACATTGAATATTTGGATGACAGTTTCGATACAGGAAAAAATGCCTCTTTGTGTGTATATTCTGTACCAGGAAGCAGATAATAGAAATCCTAAATATCTCATTGAAATGCCCAAGGAATGGTAATCCCTCAAGGCTTCTAGAGAACAAGGGGTGTTAAGTGGGAGTTAATTTGTCATATTCATGACCCTTATTACTAATTTAAAGTGTAAGATTGCCAGAACAGCCTTTTTATTTGTGCAGGTCTCCCTGCATCCTGGTTCTCCCTGTTATTTTCTCACAAGAAACTTCTGTTCCTCATCTGTAAATTATCCTCATCCTACAGGAAGGGGTTGTAAAAATCTGGCTCAGGACAGATGGGGAGGAATTCGTATCTTTTAGTACCCCTGAATTAAAGCATTATACTTATGCATAATTGTTATTGACTAAACAAGATAATAAGATGTTAATCCCTAACAGATACTTCCAATTGTTAGAGATTTCATATTTTTAGAAAACTATTGAGAAGTTTAAGAAAATCCCACAAACTTTCAATTTGGAGTTCTCATTAAATGAATAACACTGCATATAACTAAGCTCCCAAGCAGATTTAAGATTTGGAGATGTGCAAATACAGATCACCATGCGTTGATTCACTATATGGTGGTCCCTCCGAATGGATTTCAGTGACTCTGTTTTAAAAACTCTTAAAATTCTCCTCCTGTTTTTTCAGCAGTGAGCCAATGAAACATAAGATATTAGTTCCTGTTTTTTTCTTGCTTCACCTGCAGTAGTTTATAATACACTGTGTTATTGAAGAACAAACGTATGAACATATGTTGGAAATATATTCGTCAGGCATAAGCTCAAAGATCTTTACTGCCTTTACCAAAAAATTTAGCTCTTTTCTTTTGCCTTTTGCAGGAGAAAAACCATACAAGTGTACATGGGAAGGATGCACGTGGAAGTTTGCTCGGTCTGATGAACTAACAAGACATTTCCGAAAACACACTGGAATCAAACCTTTCCAGTGCCCGGACTGTGACCGCAGCTTCTCCCGTTCTGACCATCTTGCCCTTCATAGGAAACGCCACATGCTAGTCTGAATGCCCCTGTGTCCTGCCTCAGCGTGACTCCCCACTCACCTGGCTCTCTCTCTCTCCTGCCTCCCATTATCTAACACATTTTTTACATGTACATTTTAATTTGATTCAGCTGGTCTGAATCTCTGGATTTATATCATTCAAAACTTCCATATGGTCAGTAGTAGATGTTCCCTAATCCTCCCTCTCCTTACCACGGGTCAGACCTAAAGAATGTGAACACTTTTTTTTTTTTTTTTTCTGGGGATGCTAAGCAAACCCTTCTTATAGATACGTTTAATGTAATAAGAACAAGGGAACATGTAAACTAACATAACCAATTGTCAGTTCTCCATGTATTCCTCAAAAGAATGTCAGAGTAAATGTATTAGAAATACAGTATCCAGACTGCTAGTCCTTGCCAGAGACATTCTTACCTCTGCCCTGTGCTAATTATTTTATGCTTGACAGTGAAAAGAAGGGTGGCCCCTTGCACCGGTTAGCTAGAAAGAAGTACAGCAAGATTTCAGTCTAGCGCAGTCACCGCTTCCGTCACCCTTCACATATCTTTGTCAACCTGGATCTTAGACTTCAGCTGAATTGAGTTCTTTGCCCTCTTTTGTGACTGCAGCTCATATGGAGGTCTTTGCCACCAATGGGAGATGAGCCCAGGCTTTCGATGTGGGCAGATGATGTGTAGAGTTCAAGGGAAGGGTGCTGTGCTTTCATAGCACGGAGTTGGAGCAGAGGGCCAATGAGCAGGGGGAGCAGAAGAGGCAATTCCTCCTGGGCTGGGGGTTGTCAGTGTGGTTTCAACATTTAGTTAGCTGTGCGCAGCATTCCCAGAGCTTCAGGTTCTGCATACTCAGCTTTGCAGAACCCTGCTGCAAAGCCATACACCGATGGGGTTATCCATGCAACTGTCTCCATTCCTACAATGTCCTTAACATGAGGTCATCAAACATCAATAGTAGGGACTCCATGGAATATTTGCCCAGTAATGGTAAGACACGATGGTTCTTCTTTTACCCAATCTGCTTAGAGCTTTTTTGTGTAAACAGGGAAATGTTGAGTGGTACTTGTATTCCCTTATCAAATTAATCACATAGCTTTTATACAGAAACTCTTCTGTGTGAGCTGTAAGGTGCCAAATTGACTGTCATTTGTATTCATGACGCATACCGTAAAGCATCTGCTAATGCTTTAATAGATTGATTTAATTAAGACCTGAGCGACCCTATTTGTAAATATAACTAGTTGTGAAGCACACATACCTTTATTTTGGGAATTTATGAAAAAATATAGAAAACCACAGATCAGGGATTCATATATGTAGCTCAAAAATTCCCAAAAGTTTACTGTTAGAGCTGGCAATTTTCTATCACTATTTTAGTGTCAGAAGAAACTGAAAATGGCTCGCGTTTATGTTGAAGATAAATAGCACCATTTATTGGGGGAAGTTATTCAAAAGCAGGCTTTTGAGCATCATAGTCTAAAATAAAAATAATTCATACATAGAAATGTCATTGGTCATGAATTTGAAGAAAGTGAGCAACAGTCATTAAACGTGGGTGCATATAACCAAATTCCCCTTCATCAAGAATGGAGGAGAAGAGAGAAGAATGAAATCCTGAAGATTCATCCCAGCCACAACTCAGGATCCAACACAACTTTAACTGGGAGGAATACAGTGTTTCGCCATTTTTAGAACATCTGTGAATGAGTGATTCCGGAGGCCTGTGAATTGTGTGGGGAGCTTACTTTGATGGCACTGTTAATAAAAGTCGTAGGGACTGTGCAGAGGTCCCACTCATCTGCCCTGTGAACCAGCTGTGAAGACACAGTTGAGAAATGCAAAGAAATGTGTTATCTTGGCACTTGGGTTTGGTTTTCTTTTTTTTTAAAGCACTGCAAATTGGTTTTTTGTTGTTTTTTTTTTTTTAAGCTAAAGTTTTTCTCTTTTGCAACTATGACATGAATTGAGTGATAAAATGGCTCTTTGAAAAGTAGGTGTTGTCTGTATTGTAAATGCTTGGTCATAATTCATGGCAGAGTGTTCATTTCTTGAGATGGTTCTTCCACAACATGCAAGAATCAAGATGGAATGCAAGGAAAACCTTCTTGTTTTGATGGAGGTAACCAGTTTATGTGTGTTCCAGTCCATAGAGAAGTGGGGAAAGGGCGAGAAAGGATCAAACTGATCTAAGATCAGCTCTGAGCCCGCGTTCAGTGAATAGTCTCGTGGGCATCTCATGGAATTGATGCGTTTGCTGTGGCATATATTTTGTTCAAAAGATTTTAAGCAAGACTTGGCAAAGACTCCTATGTTACTGTCCAGCTTGCTTAGATTGTGTTAACAGTTCATTTAACAAAGATCCATTTTAACTGTGGAGCAAAAGCAACCCAGAGCGGCCATTCTCTATTCCCATGCTGGTCAATATGCTTTTATTACCAATTGGCCCTTACCAAACTTTTCTTATATATATATTTGTATTTTACTATGATAGTTGAGAAATTTAGCCTCTTAGTCATTTTTAGCTGTTATTGTGGAAGACCTCAAATACAAGATTAGATGCCCTTGAACATGTTTTAATGATGTGTCATGTTACTATCAATGGTGATTTCAATCACAGTATTTTAAATTTATGAGAATGATTTGTAAACATGAAGTTGGTATTATGTAAATTGTTTGTTAGAGAATTTCTTCAGTTGTTACCCAAGTGTCATCCTAGAGAAGTCAGAAGAATCAGAATCCATCATATTTTAGAGTTTTGTGAATCGACATCAATGGGCATTAACATTCTAAATTGCTTGGTTTGGAGAATGTGTTAGCAGCATAGCTATATTCAACTAAGGAGATGCTAAATACACAGAAGTTTCGAGAGCCTTGGAACAGAACTACAGGGGAACTATGTATGTATATGTATATCTTATTAAACACCCATCTGCACTATCAGTATTGCACTAATATGGATTTTTGAAAGACTATTTTGCTGATACTGTATATCTGCTCATCATTCCTGATTAGATTGTTTTAAAGACAATCTGAAAGATCCAAGGTTTTAAAATTTGGCTTGAAAATATACAGTTGTCTTGAAGGAATTGCCGTCATACATGAAGTTGCTCCGAGCTGTCTTTATTCTCTTCTTGGTCAAGGTTAACAATTGCTAAATAATCGCAAATTCACCTGAACAATAAATACATTTACAAAGCCATCTTTACATGCATTAAACGAGGGCTACAACGATATTGTTTTACAAATACTAGCACTTTTTTTCTGTTATGTATTTAGTGTTAGAGGGTCAAAATAATCTTTCTGCTTAGCATCTCTTAAACCATACCTGCAAATATAGCAGGATTATTACATTTACAGTACTTTAATACTTGTATAAACTATGCAGAAATTTTTAATAAAGTGTAATATATTTTATAAGCTAATAAGACTGAATGGGTAAAGGTTTTTAGCATGCATTAGTATACTTGCAGATACTGAAACATTTTGGTAATCTTTCTTACTAAAGATGTGAATGTTTAATGTACCTTCTCTGTTTCTACTCTGTAGTCCAATGGGAATTCAGTAATGACATTTTGTCATGTCAAACTGTGAACATAAATTTGTACTGTACAGTCCTCATATACTATATACAGTATGCAATATATATTATATACTTGTTAATAAAACCATCAGAATATTAAATGTGATCATGTGATGACTTCATATGCAGTGATCACTACAAAACTCAGAGCAATTTAAGAACCCTCGCTTAGAACTTTACTTACTCTGATGGGCAGTTACTGTTGATGGAGGGACAGAAAAATAGATCTAACTGGAAGAGGCACTAAAGGAATGAACTCAGCCCTCAATCTATGTCCCTGGTTTTCTGAAAATAGCCAACATGAAGTCTTCCAGGTTCAAATTGTAAAACAGCAGACAATCCAGCAAAAATCTAGAAACTCACCTAGTTCATTCTTGAAATACTTTATTTGTTGTTTATGACTCACCCTGCCTACTTCCAAAAAGAACTTGTAGTGTATTGTATTAAAAGACACATGTGTATAATACTTTAAACTTTTAGAGTAAAATACCAAGACTCATGCTGGGGAGTGGGGAACTAGGAACAGGACAATAATGCAATAAAGTAAATAATTCTGGATAAAAAATATTTTTCAAACCTTTAGTAACCATGTCCATGGGTGCTGCAGTCTCCTGCATCACATGAAGACGTCATTTCTGATAGGGATTTAGAGTTGGCATGTTTTTGTTTTTGTTTTTACACAGTCTTGCTGTGTTGCCCAGGCTGGTGTGCAGTATTGTGATCTCACTGCAACCTCTGCCTCTTGGGTTCAAGTGATTCTCCTGCCTCGGCCTCCTGAGTAGCTGGGACTACAGGCATGTGCCACCGTGCCCAGCTAATTTTTCTATTTTTAGTAGAGATGGCCAGGCTGGTCTTCAACTCCTGACCTCAAGTGGTTCACCTGTCTTGGCCTCCCAAAGTGCTGCGATTACAGGCATGAGCCACCGTGCCCAGCCAAGGATTTGGAGTTCTTTTGTTTAAGGCAAAATGTAATCACCTATCCTCTTCCCTCTGCATCCCTACAATGTAATTGAAACTGAGGCTAGATTGTTAGATCTCAGCAGTTTCCTCCAGCCTGGACTTCATCTTAGCAAAACAAAAGATAATGTCTGGCCTGCACTTCCCACATGACTTACCTTGGAGAGTGGAAGGAGGTTGGGAGAAGGCCAAGTTTAGACTTTGGGCCACTCTCCAGCCTTTTCTAGGGAACTTGACTGCTTATATACCGAGGTAGTTGACTGCAAGCTCAAAAGCAAGTGTATGTGGCTGTTAACCTAGTAGAATACCGGCTTGAGATAGTCCAGATGACTGGCTGTAATCCTTCCACTATGTTTCTTTTTCCTTTTTTTTTTGTTTTTTTTTTTGTTTGTTTTTTTTTTTGTTTGTTTGTTTGTTTGCTTTGTTTTCTGAGATGGAGTCTCTCTCTGTTCACCAGGCTGGAGTGCAGTGACATGATCTCAGCTCACTGCAACCTCCACCTCCCAGGTTTAAGAGATCCTCCTGCCTCAGCCCCCTTAGCTGGGATTACAGGCACACGCCACCATGCCCAGCTAATTTTTGTGTTATTAGTAGAGACAGGGTTTTACCATGTTAGCCAGGCTGGTCTCAAACTTCTGGCCTCAGGTTATCCACCTGCTTTGGCCTCCCAAAGTGCTGAGATTACAGGCATGAGCCACCGCGCCCAGCCAACTCTTCCGCTGTATTTCTTAAGCATGACTTTGACACTTGCTGAGTTCAGAATAAGATCCATCCTTCTAGGAAGAATTGTTACAAGCTGGATTATGCCCAGGTGAATGATCAGGATGATGACAAATGTAGATTCTATGAGAAACTGAATTCTTTGGGGAAATGATTAAATAAAGTTAAGATGTTCCAAACAAAAAAAGACAATATATAACTATTGCCCATCACAGCCCTCTGTAGGTTCCACATCCATGGGTTCCACATTCACAGATTCAACCCAGAGCAAATAGAAAATATTCAGGAAAAATAAAAATAAACTATAATAATAATACAAATAAAAAGAATACAGTATAACAGCTATTTACATAATATTTCCATTGTATTAGGTATAAGCAATACAGACAATTTAAAGTATACAGGAAGATGTGCATAAACTGTGCAAATACTATGCCATTTTATGTGAGGGACTTTAGCATTTGAGGATTTTGGTATCCCTGGGGGTCCTGGAATCAATCCCCCATGGGTACCGAGGGATAACTATATTTTAAATGCTATTAGATTAGGAAAGCAGGATTAGGAGTCTTGCTGAGGGCCAAGTTATCAATTCTAATCTGAAAGAGAAGAAACAGCTGTGTTCAGGAAGAATGGTGCTAAAAGATAAACTCAGGCACATTAAAATCTTAAAAGTTTATTTGAGCAGTCAGCAATTCATGAATCTGGCAGGACCAGTTGTAAACAGTTGGGCTGATTCAAGGAGACTGAATAAGCTGTTCTCAGAAGCAAAACAAATTATTTGATGGTTGAAGTCGAAAGTTTGCAGTTAGAGGTTGGTTGGCAGTTTCTGATTGGTTAAGATTGCTTTCCTAGGCTACAGTCATTCACTCTGATTTAGGCTTTGATTTGCTTACACAGGAACCCAAGGCATGGGAGCCGTCTCAGCCTAATGGCCTCCCAATTCATTTATGAAAACAATGGATTGAGATGGTAGAAATACATATACATATAGATGTAAAAGTTAAACTACTAGACTTGAGTTACCAGTGTGTATGCACAAAACTCAACAATGAATTGTTCAAATGTCCATTCATTTTAAGAATGTAAACCGAGCCTGTTCCCATTTCCTATTGCCTGAGCTGATCACAGTCGCAGTAGTTAGTAATAGTGCAGTGTATAGAGAAAGTGACTCCCAAATTAGAATGACACATGCTGTAAATTAGAATTATTTTTAAACTTATGGAAAAGTGGGAGATTTATTCTCACCAA